TGTACTTCCGCTTCAACTGTTGGTTCAGGCTCATCATGTGTAAGTAGGAACTTGGAAGTCTCCGTACCACCACCTTCTTCATCCATCTCCGCCTGAATACATACAGTTTTGTTTAGTTTCCATAATATAGTATAAACATCATCTTGTATCTGCAGTGAAAGATAAGTCAAAAAGTGAAAAAAAAATTTAAAGACTTTGTAACACAATCAACAAACTTGCATCAAAACAACGGAGATAACTAAAAGTTTAATTAATTTTTTTATCACACCTTAAAGAATTTTAATTGAAAAAAAAAACTGTTTTACTATATATGTAAACTGCAATAAAGATTTTATATGAATAGATAAAATATAAAACAAAATTAATTTAAAACACAGAAGCAAACATTATTAATAAAATGTTATCAATGAACTTGAATTATGCAAATATTTTCACCAAGCAGGTCAGTGATGACAAACATAATATTTCTTTGTTTATATTATTAGGGCACACACTAGAAGCTGCAATTTCAATCAATTACTTGTTTGTTTAGTCAGCAGATGTATGATAGACAATTTAGCTTTAGGTATTTTAACACTAGTATAGGTTATGTTTAAGGGTTATATTGGTGTTACTATTTGATACAAACATTGCATGTTAGAATCACAAGGACCATTCAACATATTATATATTACATTAAGGTGGTCAGAACTGCCCACTGCACACACAAAACTCATTGTTAACTGAAAGAACCACTGAAGACTGCAACAGCAATTGGATTTGGAAGCTTACTGCATCCAATGAAGTGGAAGACTTACCAACAGGTCTGGCCTGCTAAGGCACAAACAAGCCAACAAGATCTATAACACCAATGAGAAAAATATCAGATATAATAGCAATGGGGTGCTTAGTAACAATCTTAACACTAATCATTTCTACTAATGGTCCTTGTAATTCACCATCAACCAACATTTTTGCGCGAATTCTACTTGACGACAAATTGGAATTGTGTATGCGTAACGTCACAAAACACAACATTGTTCGTCACTATTAACAACAAATTCACAAAATTATTATATAATACACACAATCACATCGAAATAACTTCGAAGAATACACTTTTCCGCAGTTCACACGGAGTTGATGCATGTGATTCAAGTAACATGGCCACTTAGGTCAACCTCTTGTCTTAACACAAATAGACAACTAAAATTCTACCACCAGTCTGGCTTGTGTATTAAAAATATAAACAACTAATTTCATATAATCTAAGAGTGGCATAAATAAATTCATGCACTACTCAGTGGAACGTATGTACCCGACTATCTGACGTTTTACGGAATATTTGGCAAGCACCTAAGACCGTATCGAGAGCGTAATTTTTTTGGTTTTGTTTCCCTACATCCTATTTCAACATATTTAAGCATGACTTATAAGAAATTTTACCAAAAAATTGAAAGTATAGGCATGTACAAGATGTCCCTTTCAGCATTTAGCGGTACAGATAATCACAATCCCTCACTGCCACCGCCTCTGCGAAAACAAAACACGTTTTTACCTCGGATACGGAGTCATCTTCGCTTTCCGAAGAGTCCGTCATGTATTTGGCAGGTGCTCCCGAATATGTTTCGGTTTCAGATTTAGCTGGACTCGAAGCCGAACTTTGAGGAGTGGACGATTTTACCACATCAAGTTGCACATTCACCTTATCGATATTTCGATTTTCAGACTGTCCGACATTCTGCATTTTTATCCTAATCCAATTAAACTAAATTAGTCTTTTAATATCAACACTTGTTTAATGAAATTAACACGTTCTTATATTAGCAAACAAAAATTATTTCATCATTTAGCTAGGCTGATACCCGCCATGTCTTCTACACTTACACTATGGCGCGGTGTTGCCATTTTGCGTCTGCGGTGTGCCGGTTAGATCACAGGAACAAGAAAATTTGTAGTCCTATTTAAATTCGAGGGCATCATCGCTACAAACTGTACCTTTGAAGCAAATGTAGGTAAAAATTCTTTGGAACCTTATAATTTTCGAATAGGAGGACTTAAGCATTCTAGTGGTCTTTCATGTATCAATCATGTGTATTTCTTTATCCTTTTTTCCTATTTTGGAATTAACTCGTACACTATTTTTAGAAAGAATCAGAACTAACTGCCTTTAAGCTAGTAAAATATTTATTTTGGCAACATTGTTGTGGCGAAGTTCCCGGATGCTTCAAGTAGGCTAACCAATTATCTCCCTCTGGTGAATCTATTTTGCACTATTTGTCAAGTTTGTGTCGCCATCTATTTACAAAAATGCCTATCAAAATATAGGTTATATAGAAAATACAGATATATGAGAGTAGATTATAAGAATCTAAAAGACAGACTAAATAAGATTCCATTCATACTAAATTACCACGTGTTTTCTTTTTGTAAAACGGTTATTATACAACCTAAGAAGTTTAGTTCTTGGCCACTCATGGGCTAAAGATTAAAAATCGAGGTAAAATAGCAATGAAATGAAAACATTGAAAACAACGCCTGTCGAGTGTAATTTTGCGGCGATTGGCAGAAATTTTCTCCCGGGCTAGTATCGTACCGTATTTATATCACTTATCGATAAAAATAAAATAACGAGGCGTAATTAAAAATAATAACATAATTATGTTTCACGTACTTATGCTTAATGTTTTCTTTTAAATTTTAAATGACGTTCAATTGTTTATAATCAAAGTAAAAAAGAAGCTGTTTCGAAATCAAAAACTTAGGTTGTTGAATTTTAGATATATGTATAGTAGGTATGTTTTAACAATATAAATTGAACAATTCAATAACAATCCATAAAAGTACATGGAGCGCTGTTCTCTCCTCTGGGTGGTAGCTCCAGTACCAGCTCCTTCCACTTGACCGTATTCAACAAAGAGCGAGTTCATGGGTGGTATCACTTAGCATCAGGTATTCTATATCAAATGTATATTTCATTAGAAAAATCTTGTTTTGTCTTGGTGTTTGAGCTTTTGTCTATCATTGTTTTAATTTATTTAGTATGAATGTTTTGCATTGCTAAAATTTTAATTCTACATGAAATAGAATATTGTTTAAATCTGGATTCATTTGACCTCTATCTTCTGTTCCTAAATCTATTGTCCATTCTAGCATCGATCGTTACATCTCATAAAATTTTTAGCAGCGCACTATACCAACTAGTACCGTATATTTATAATTATATTTATGCAGTGGCACGTAAGTCTAGAGCTGGCCGATACGTGGAGGGATTGCTGCGCATGTGTACTGTCGCGCGGGTGACGGAATGCGACTGGAGAGCCAATCGAAACTCTTCATTCCGCTAGCCCCCCTCAGGTGCCTTAATTTTTACTTCTGCGCAATAACGGTCAGCGCTAGAGTTTCGTGCCGCTACTTGTACACATCTTTGTTTGATTTCCATTATTTATCATTTACATGTGAATGTTTCTTTGTCAATGAAATAAAAAGGGGGTCGTACAAAGTAGGTACACATTTCAGAAGTGAAACTTCTTTGGCAAACTAATTTTAAAGTGTTGTTCATATATATTATACAAATCTAAAACTTTAGATTTCCGAGACTTAGAGAGAGGGAAAAAGGAAGATATGTTAGGAATTTAATGAATTTAATTATCATTAAAATATTAAGTGTCGTAATTAATACAAATAATAATTTATTTTTTAAATTTATTTCTTCGATAATAAAAACATGTGGCAATTTTATTTATAATTCGACATTTGAGATTTCAATAAATTTTTTTGCATAAAATATAAAATACTAATATTTCATAAAATATTCTCTATACGATATTGTAATTTTAAAAATAGAATTTCTAAAAGATAATTCGCCTTTCTCACTCTCTCTCTCTGAATCGGTCTCAATCGCTACCTTACTTGTCGAAGAAAAGGGTTCTTCGACAAAAACGCTGCACATCTTCGTGACGCTAATATTATTATTATTGCGTTCCATCCGTAAAAGTTTCACTTCAAAACTTGAAAATATTTTTTTAAATATCACGGCTGGATATCTTTATCGATAAAAAAGCGCGGTGTTTTTTAGTTCTTGACTCTGGTTCTAGCTAGAGCCTAGATTATATTTACGCTTTTATTTGACTTTTCCCATGTCAATTTTCAATTTGTAATGAAAAGTTTTGTTGACAGATCGCCAAAGTCATGAATTATGTACATTTGCGATAATTTCATAACTTCGTACGATGTACGATGGTACATGACTATCTAGCAGATTTACGATAATTTCCAGTCTGATAAAAAATTTGATATTAAAGATAGCCCAATAACAATTACAGTTTTTAGTGTCAGTGCCATCTATTGGCTTATTTTTCTATTAGGAACTTATGCTGTCACAAGGCAACTACAGCAGATGAACAAAGCGTTAATGTACAAACACAAAAACCATCAGAATCACAGCCAAAAATTCACATTTTATGTAAGATTTAATCTTCGACAACATTTTAATACCTAACAATTTTAAGTGATAAAAATAATATGATTTTACCACAATAGGTATATCACTTAGAGCGAACACATATTTTAACAGAAAATATTCGTATTTTTTTCCTCTTTAAAAAATTAATTATTATATTTTTTCAATTTGAAAAACACAATTTACAAGATTTAAACTATAAATCTTTGCAACATTTATTTTATTTATATATTTTTAATATTTTACCATTTTTACTGTACATAATTTATTATATGATCAATATAATAATTTTAGTTTTGTTGACAGATCGCCAAAGTCAGGAATTATGGGAAATTATGAAAAGCTTTCGGAAAAAATACTTGTTATTATTGCGTGCAGTTAAAGCATACATTAATATTAGCTATTGTAGTGATGATAGTATAGACAAATTTAAGGCTTTTGTGAAGATGTGAAACGGTTCTTAATTTTTTTCCTTAAGATAAGAAAATCTGAAATAAAATTATGCGAACACTAGATGTGAGATGGATGAGATAATCATGATGCTTTAAATTAAAACAATATGGCAAGGGATGGAGACGTCCCAACAATCTTCAATCCTAAAAGAGTGCGTGCACCGTCTGTAATTATTACAAGCGAAGAGGTGGTAGAGGCTGATCGCAGTATTGATGTCGAAAGGGAGCGGCCGAATGGGCCCCCAACACCTTTGAGTCCTCGGGCACCCTTGACGCCCCAAACATCTGTTTCATCAGCTCCACCTCTCACTACACAACCTTCGTTGCAGCAAACCTTCAGTGAATCGGCAGCCAGTAGTCAGGATGAAGAAAGGCAGGTCAGAGATAAAGGTTGCCCGCGCTCTTGCTGTTCGAAGATCGCTAAAAAGGTAATGAATCCTTGAATAGTTAGTATTTGTATATTATCTAATATTACCACAAATCATGTTTATCCTGATTTTTGCCCTGAGATTAAACAGCCATTTTAGATAATTTATATAAACTTAAATTTCCTAAACTTAGGAATTCAATATTTAAGGTTAATTTAGGATTAATTATCAAACACATATTTCATTTAAAAAAAACTTCTTTTGTTCTTGTATTGACTTTTAAATATTGTTATTGTTACAGATCTATTATGGAGTCTGTGTCACATTTGTTCTGGTGGCATCCTGGGTGACTGTAACCCATTGTATCAAATATCTATATTTACAAGACTATTCCCCTATACATAGTGCAGATTTTTCAATGTTCAATAATTATACATCAAGATTTCGCACACATGTAAGTACTATAAGATAAATTTTCAAAATATCTGTTTTAAATTAAATTTTCTATCTAGTATAAAGTGGTGTTGGTAAAAGTAGGAAGGACAAAGTTAAAAAGTAGCCTATATTTAATATGTATTGTCATCAAAAGACAGCTAATAAACCAATATCTGCTTTTTACAATGTAACTGTTTAATATAACAATTAGTTCATTGGGCAAGATGGCCATTATAAGAACTACAACTAGCTCTGCTAATAATATTTGATTAGATTCTCCACTATATTAATGCAAGTGTGTAATGGTCTCCAGACCTTAACATAGTCAGTATAGTCACTCCAGCACTATACTACTATGCCCTATAATATTATATGACTCTGAAAAAAATTTCTTTAAAGGAATATCAGAATAGCTGAAATCTGTTTTTGTGTGGGTGTAAACTAAGAAATACTATTTGTTACAGCACTTATATAATGCACCATTCTTCACGGCATGGTTCTGCACCAACTGGTTGATACTATTCTATCCAATATATCTAATTGTAATGCTCATACACAACAAGTGCAAATCAGCAAATTCTATAGCATGCAACGCATTTAATGATTTTAAAGAAAAGGGCTTCACTTTTGGTAAGACTATAATTATATCTTTAATTTGTTACTTATTAATTTGCTGCTAAAAAAATATTGTGAAAGAAAAAAACATTTATCATTATCAATTATAAGTGATATAAAATAAATGTAATATTAAAGATAATAATAAAACACTATTTTGACCGGATTGAAGTTATGTATTATTATAAATTTACAACTATTTAACATAATTTTAAATTTATCCGACGTTTCGCGTGCTTTACAGCGTGCGTGGTCACGGTGACTCTGTGTAAATTTATAATAATACATAACTTCAATCCGGTCAAAATAGTGTTTTATTAAATGAATAAAAGTTATGTTAATCAAAGACAATACTATGTGCAAAGATAATAACTTTAACTAACTTTTTTAAGAGAGATAAACAAAGACTTGTTTTACTGAATCTAAACATAACAGCTTTAAGACTCAAACATTTTATGACAGGTTGAAATTTTTTAATATTAATTAGTAAAAACAATTGGAATTCAATAATTGTGTTTTTTTTATTATATTTGCATAAACAAAAGTCATTTTTCTATTTGGCACAAAGCTAAATATGTTTATTTCTACCAACATGCAACTGACTTAATGTTGTCACTTACAGCCCGTTTCCTCAGTCGCTGCAGTCTGTTCTGTCTGCTATGGGTGGTAACAATATACATGTACACATACTCTCTCAAGATTCTGTTGTCCACGGATGTGGTGGCTCTCTTTGCAACCAATGTTTCCTGTATCTATCTTCTGTCCTGGGTCATACTTCATGAACAATTTGTTGGAGTTCGGGTGAGATACTGAGTAGATCTGACAGACATTAATAGTGAAAAATTATAAAAGCTCTGAGACATATTTTTGGATGTAAATTATGGTTTTAAAACATAGTTAATATTTTAGAATAATTCAAAATATTTATTCTTATTGGATTAATTGATTGTATACATATGTGCCAGTGCCATATACATTTTAAGGAAAGGTTTTTTTGGACTTTTATATATATTATTATATCTATAATTTAAAAAATAAGTTTTTAATAGTGTGGTGAAAACTGCCAGAGTAGTTTATTAAACAATTGTGAGCACATAGTGTGTTTCACTGATTTTTTTTATGATATGGTTATAAAAGTTGTGATCAGCAGACCATGCGACAGGAAAGCAGGAAACTAACTCCTGAATTTTCATAATCCGAGTATGTGAGAGAAATGTTAACAAATCTGTACTGATATTATGATTATGTTTTTTGCTTGTAACAGACAAATTCCAAAATATAATGTGATTAAAAAATCTCTTATGTAGAGTCAATATTAGAATTATAATTAGAATTCTACATAAAAATTGCATGTTTTATTGTATATAATTTTTCAGATCGTAGCTGCGATCCTCTGTGATACAGGCATCGCCCTACTGGCCTACATGGACGGTATCACAGGCAACTCTACGCTGGGCGGAGTCGTACTAGCCGCCTGCGCAGCTGCAGGTTTCGCTATATTCAAGGTAAGACAAAAACATTACTTAAAAATAATATAATCGATAATGTTATAATTAAAAGTGCTGTCGGTCATACGAAACATTGCTTATTTGTATATAAAAGTGTATATATTATATACATATACTAGTAGTATATATATATTGTATATACTAGCAGTATATATATTATATATACTAGCATAAGTATAATCTCACTTATCCTGGAAAGGTTTACAATGTATTAGGGAGCGTTCAAGTATTACGTCACGCAATTTTTGGAGATTATTGACCCCCACCCGTGTAACGCGCCGTAAAGTTTTACTATTACCCAGTTACAGCTAAAAGTTACCATTACGTGCTGTAAAGTCGAAAATAAAATTAACAATAACGCGTAATTCAATCCCCGCCCCGCATTGGTAAACGTTAGTTTTACAAAAGGACACCCCCCTCCAAAATTCGTTACGTTATACTTGAACGCTCCCTTACTCCTTTGGAGTACCGAATATAATAAGAAAATTGTTCTCATATTAACAATAATTTGAAACTGTATTGCGTGTAATATTTGGTAATTGACCAAATATTTGAATCACGCCATCGTAGGACCTCTGATACGTAAAATTGTGATACAGGCAAGGTCGATCAAGATTGTTAATTTTTATGTTGTTATAACTTGGATTAATGAATTATACAACCAATACAAACCTAAACTCACAGCAAGTTTTAACCAATTCTACATTAGAATCCAAATATGCAAGATTATGCACATAACATAGTCTGGTCTGTGGAGGAACGAAATTACTGCTCTTCCTCCGAACCCCCCCCCCCGGTAGGGCCGCCCGCGCAAAAAGAAAGTGAGCTAGCGCCGCCGCGGAGCCGAGGGTTGTGGGGAGAAGTTAAAGAAGAAAAAAAATATATATAAACCCTTTTCGCCGGGGGAAACCGCTGTTGGTTTTTAAAATTTGAAAAAACTGTTGCATGGACACCTCGAGCGCGTCAGGATCCTCGACAGCACCAATGGCCGGGCCACGTATTTTATATATGTACGTAGCCTTAGTGGCGAACGTTTGCATGATGCGGGTGGTTGTATTTAAGGGTTGAAAAAAAAAAATAAAAATTATCGAGCGCGTCAGATTTTCTAAGGGAGTGTTACAAAAAAAGCTCTCATTCACTAATCCTGACGATTTCGATGGGACGCAAACCCACGGCCATTTTTATAATTTGCAAAAAAAATCAAGCGCGCATTCGGATTAAGATATATGTGGTTCTCTTTATGTTTAAACGTATGCTCATAATCTGACGATTTCTAGGGATTCGCCTGATTTGACAAAAAAATTTAGAAAAACGGTTCACCTAAAGGGCCATCCTGCAACTTGCCTAATCCATTTGGTTAAATTGATTGAGGTGGTTCAAAGAAATAAATCTATCATTTGAGCTCTCCCAGGCTCGTCCGAAAGTCTGAGAGAAGTTTTTTGGGAATTTTCAAACCGCAATAACTTTTGAATGGATCTTTCACTTGCGTGCATTTTCACGAAAAGGGATTGGGAGGGAAAACGCACTGTACTTTTCGGGTTTCATTCGTTCACGATATCTCTGGAAAAGAAAAGGAGGAAAAAAAAAGGGGGGGGAAAGGGAGAAAAAACTTTTTGGGGGGTTCGGGGGGCCAAGAAACCCCCCGAAAGAAAAAACCGCCTTTGACCAGCTTGGTGGCGATCGACGTGGTTTTTCAAGCTCAAATGCGGATTAGTTTTTGAAGTTGATCGATAAAAGAAACCACTTTAAAAAAAAATATTTCTTATTTTTTTAAGATTTTTCAAAATTTCTCAAAATCTATCGGTCCGAATCGGTTCAAATTCACAGGAAATGTAATTTTGAGGGAAATATTTAGAACGCCGTTTAGTAGATTCCGATCGGTTTAAGGAAATGTAGGCATCACGAGTGCAGATTTAACTTTATCGACGAATTTTTGTTATTTCTTGCGGAAATCTCAGGTAAAAAATTTTCATTATTCTTGAATTATTTCCTTCAAAATAAAAAAATTAGCTACGCTCGAGAATGTCGAGATGACGTTTTTTACAACTTTGTTGCCCTCCCCTTTTTATCACTTTCAAATTTCAGATTAGTGGAATATACATTTTAATGTAATTAACTCACCCTACTTAATCTGAGCGCGCTCGCGAATTTCTGATGGTCAATTATTTTTACTAATCTGTCCTTCTCCTTCACGGGCGGCCTTATATATGGGCCTCATATTTTGTGGAGGTACTTAACCGGGTACAAGGTTTCCCCTATATATTAATCTGCCGCGCCTAATTTGTAAATCCCGAAAATCCTCCGCTCCCCTACCATTATTTCGAAGCGGGGAAAAAAACGGGGGGGGGGGGGGGGTGTTTTGGGCGAAGGTCGAAAATTGGTACATATTTACTTAGTGGTCGGAAAAACTTAGTTATCGCGTTTGGGACTGTTTAAGTATTACTTAAGGACTATAAGGGGGAGGGATCTTTGATTTCCTTATTTGGTGATTACGTCAATAGTGATTGTTTATTTTTTTACACATTGTCTATGCCTTCTTGATTTCTAGATGTTTGCAAGATGAAGGGTGAGGGGGGACAAATCTGCTTACCTACTGTACGGCCCCTACCCCTTCAGGATATATCGTCATCGTCGTGGTTGTAGCCGTAGATTGTAGATGTCGCTACAAGTCAGCAGAAAACATCTTAAAAGTGAATTTAGTTTATACTCACTTGCGGGGCTCCGATGACACGATTTCTCGATGACATAATACCTATATTAATCAATGAATCATATCAATGTATCGTCAGTTCTCGCCGTGGTTTTTCTCGCTAAAAATATTTATTCAAGTGATCTCATATGTATATAATATTAATAATATAAAGTCATCAAAACCCTAGAGCAGTGTTGGCCTAACAGCTTCAGCGTGCGACTCTCATCCCAGTGGTCGTAGGTTCGGTGCCTGGCTGTGCACCAATGGACGTTCTGTACGCATTACGCAAGTACGCATTCGCTCGAGTGAAGGAAAACGTCGTCGGGAAACCGGCTTATCAGGCACAGGAGGCTGATCACCTACTTGCCTATTAGATCGACAAATTATCATGAAAGAGATACATTAATCTGAGGCTCAGACCTAAACAGATTGTAGCGCCACTGATTTATTTATTGATTGATCACAACAATGATTGCTCAACTTAGTCAATGGATCAGACTATTTTAGTAGTTTATTAAATGTAAATTGATTTATTCTATAAGTATATCGAACTTCGGTATGGTGTGAGAATAAAAACCATAATTATTATCCGCTTTACATTGCAGCACTATCGCATGTCATATCGCGATTAGTGACCTACAAATACCACGTTCGGTGACCCGATTAATTTGTTGCTCTGTTATTAAATTTTAATGTAAGGAATGAAAGAACGATCACACAAAAATCAACAACAACAAATCGTAATAAACAGTAGCGACCTTTGAACGTTCGATATCTTTCTAATATTAATATTTAATGCAATAGAAAACTTGTTAATACAAAAGTTATACCTACTAACTACTTAATATCACATACCCGTAAAATCAAAACAAGAAAACATCAAAATCTAAACCTTTTTATAACAAATAATAAATAAAGTGATCCTTGTGAGACAGTGTGATAAGTAAGTCTCAGATACAATAGTATTGATTGCATTACGCAAAGAGTGATAACGACAGTGTGACAGTCTTACACTGTCGTTACCGCATTTTGTGATAGCAAGGTCCTGCTAAATGTTCTGTTGTCCATGCAAACAAAGTCTAGGGCATCAGTATACATTTCGATGCGTACTTGTTTAAGCGTCTTCGTCCTAATAGGTTAAAAATATTCACTGTCGTCGTAAGCAAGACAATGAGCAAGACAAAGTTGCAAAGTGTGCAAGATTCTGACTATAGCGGTGCTTTAAATAATAGAGGATTTTTGTGGTACTCTTTATAACCACTTACGTACAACAATAGAATATAAGCGAAATAATGAAATGTTAATTGCTATGTAACGAATGAATGCAATGTAACAGTCAAAGAGAGTGCCTTCGTTTGGATATACTCTTGGGGCGTAACTCCGATGATTTAGGAAATCGCCACGCTTATAAAACTAAGAAAGCCTGAGTGAGCAAAATTTACAGCCTTGGCTCGTACAGTGCGGTATCGAATGAAGTGGATAGAATTAAATTTATACTAATATTAAAAAAGGTAATGTTTGCGAGGTTGTAGGTTGAAAATTCTTTTACCAATAGAAAGTCATACATGTATATTAGCCCAAAAAAATATAATAATTTTTCGTGGTTGTTGAATTTGCAAAGGCGGAGAAAATAGGGTCGAAAACGTTATACCACTGCCTTAACGATAAGAGATATGATTGGGTTCTAGAGAAAAGTTGTAAAGCTTTTGATGCCTACAAAGTCAGCGACAGCATATTATGTCTAACTTTTATATCATATAATATAAATACAAGTCTGTCTGTTCGCTATTAACTCAAAAACTACTGCACTCAGTAATATCTAGAATGATTCATTAGGTTTAGGTATATAATTTTTCAAGGATCACGTTTGCCGGGTCTCGAGTATTCTGAATTATAAAATTAAAGCGTAATTATTCATTCATTAGGTGCTGTTCAGAAAAGTGATGGGTGAGGTGAACACAGGTCAACGAGCGTTGTTCTTTTCAATCCTGGGTATAGTGAATGCCACATTACTGTGGCCGGTGTGCCTGGCTCTTTATCTCACAGGCACAGAGCTTCTACCAGCCCATCGGATGCCCTGGATGCACTTGCTGATAGCCAGCGTCGCCTTACTGGGTAATCTTTTGTTTTTGGATCATTCTTATCGTACTTTATTAATATTGATGTCACCGTAAAATTGTAAACACCGTAAGATTGTAATCTATCTGAATTTAAACTTGAAAGATTTCAACTCATATGCTTAAATTTACTAATATTATTGTAATTAATCTATCATGAAACCGTAAAATTACAATTTGAAATTTCAAATTTTAACTTAGAAGGTTTCCCTATTTTTTTATAGTAGACCTTCTATGTCCATAGATTAGGAATGAAACACGGGTATCAGTCAAATAAACTGAATGCACTTCAAGAATTGTGACATCGTATTTATTCATTACTTAGTAGGTAATCAATAATTCTGACATCACATGTAAAAAAATTGTATCAAAATAAAAATCAGAAACTTTATATTCAAACTTTTTGTCAATAAGATTAATTTTAATTTCCAACAATTTCATATAACTAATTCTAAGTTAGTTACTTTCAACACGAATCATTTACATTCAACAAAACAATCAATTTACATTCTCAACAAACGAATTAACAAACAAATTGTCGGGGCATATTCCGTTCAACCAATCAGCGGGAGTGCGATCCGTTTCACAATTTGACTTTCACTTCGATAGATTACAATCTACCGAATAATATACGTTAAATTTAATATTGAGTTGACAATCTTTGATTTACAATCTGGAGATAGATTAAATCTATTTTAAATTTTAGGTAATTGACAATAAAAGTTAACTTATCATTGAAAACGCAAATAACGAATCACATTAATGTATGATTTATATAACGGATGCATAGATTAAAAGTACAACTAATTTGAATATAAAAACTTATTTAAAATAAAAAAGTTTTAAGAAAGTAAAAATTTAAATTATTCCTATTTCAACATAAATTTGAAAAAAGATACTCACTCACTCCGCTGGACCCATTAAGTGTCTTTGCCCTCGAACGAGAACGATTAAAAAAAAAGAATTATCAAAAGTTTTTTCTGTTAAGAATAAAAAAGATATGTTATTTTTATTTTTGAAATGAATAATAGTTGAGAATAAGCAGTACAAAATTTTGTCACTCCCTAGGAGCAAGATTCAGAAACGAAACTTAGAGCTAAGTCTCACTTTCGTACGCCAAAAATGCATCTTGACATGCAGAAGTCTTAGTTCTCGCTGACGTTTCTGAATCCTCACCTCTAGATGTTATGCTCCTACATATACTATTTCTAATTTCAGTATTCCACATGGGATTTCAATTCGGCAACTTAGTGACGTATAATATATTCGTCTCGATCGCACTCATCACTGCTGTACCTGTATCAGCTGGTAAGTTTAGATGATAATCGCTTTTTAACAAAAATAGTCTTTAGTTATAGATAGAGATTGTAGCTAAAATAATGGCAAACGACATATTTTATATTGTGGTTTTAAGTAAAATTACTGAAATATTACGATTTTTGATGAATAAGTCAAAGAATTTAAGATATATTTTAATTGATTTATTGATAATTAAAATTTTACTTCATACTTCTTCGCCTGAGTTGCAGCATTTATTGGTTATATAATCCCATAAATATACAGAATGAGGCTAAACTTATAAATCAAAATTCCAGCTCTGGACGTGGTGCTATACGGCGTGTGCTTCGAAGGCATGAAGCTATCGGGAATAATACTAATAACAGTGGGCTTCTCTTTGGTGATGTTGCCCGATAACTGGCCCGACTACATCATGAGGTTGCTCAGGTTTGGCACTTTGCTAGTTCCATAGCTTTCGCTTGAAATCCCGAACGCACTCAGGCAAGTGCGGGTCCGGCTCGACCCTTTTTAGAATATCGAAATATATCCATTTTTGTATTATGAGTATGAGACGTTTTAAGGGAGTCAAAGAAAAGTTGGTCGGTAAAAATGGAAGACAACCACAAAAACAAAACGTTTATTATAACCTGCTGTACCTGTTAAAAAAAGAAGGCAATAGTAAATATCATTGGTCTCGCTCACACATAAAAGTGAATAAGGTTCATAGCACGGTTATGGTATGATACGGAGTAGTAAGCAGACTTCTTTAGGGTAATTTGAGATTAAGTTTTCGGACACAAATTGAAAAGCCATTGGGATTAAAGCCATTACTTTACATTTAAATTGATCCAAACTCTAAGGCTGGATCCACTCTTGTACTTATTCAATCAAGTTACCTTATTTAGTAAAAGGTTTTAATATAGGAAATATATCGTGTCTAAAATTAATTGTCATCAAAGTTACGCATTAATTATGTCCATCCTAAGATACTATTTAGTGATAATATGGATTATATATTCGAAATTCTACGAATATTTTTTTGCATACCTCGACTGTAGGTTTTATGTAATAAAATATAATACAAAACGTGAAGATTGGACTAAGATATATTGATATATCATCAAAATTGTATAAATGTTTGTTAGGGAACACTACGTATTCAAAAAGGACAGACAACGCTCACAACACAAAATGGACTACATGGCTGATTTGGTTTACGTGTCGACAGGTACTTCACCCTGTAGTGTTGTGTGAACATCTGTCCATTAGCTAATGTCATGGACAAAAGATTTTGATGGCTCTATGTAGACATAATCTATGTTCAACTGTCAAAACGCCTATATTTGACAGTTGAAAAACGTATATGCGTTTATAATCATCTATACATAATAATTGTTTAAAATTAGTTATAATACACTTCGATTTGATCCTTCGAGCTTTGGTCGATAAAAAAAAAAAAGAAATTTCAAAAATGGTTCTAACATGCGTGCATCTAAAACTAAAGACAATAATGAGTTGTCTACGTAAAGCCAACCAAATCATGCGTTCCATAGTTGGAGTGTTAGTGGTCCATTTAAGGATAGGTTTTCCTTTAGATTGCAATACACTTAGACAACGTAGGTGAATAGAAATACGTGATTGTAAATACTCATTACCGCAAAAAACATGGTGACGTCATTTTTCGTAGTTCGAGTGTGGATTTTATAAACTTGCGCTAGTCAGTCTTTAGATGGGGTGATTTTAAAGATGTGAATCCGTTTCAAAACTATTCTGTAATACACAATGGTACACTGCTCAGAAGTCTTTTGGAAAACAACTATAAGTAGTAGAACTGTCAAAATTTTAATTTTCACTGTGGCCTCGTCTCTTGGCAACTATATTTCTGCTATGGTAAATCTCTAAGTTCAACTAACGGATTAACGAAATTTTAAATTCATGTTGTCAAAACGCTAGTTGGATATAAGTTGTGAATTGTGGGAAATAAAATATTGCGACTTTGCTTTTATAATAAATATATTTTAACGCAAGCAAGATTTAAAAATTGATTTGTTATATACTCACTTAGAGCACTAAATCAAATTCAAACGAGAATTGCAACATCTTTAAATTTAAAATTGTTATTATTATCTGAACTAGTTAATTAGGATTTTTTTTAATATTTTATACATAGACTATATATAGATAATATTTTGTAATTTACACTATATTATTATATCTATATATCTTAACATAACTTTGAAGTATAAAGCCAAAGACGCAATTTTTTGTAGCCCAAGAGTGAAGTTGCAAGCTACAACTTTCTATTAAAATATATTATTTTATATTAAATAGAGTGTTCTTCAGTGTGTTCACACCTCTAGCCATAGATAAGGGTACTGACGCCTAATATTTATGGACAGATGGAGCCGTCGTCGTCAACGCGGCAATGACGGTTCCGGTAGAAACCGAGACACTGTGGACTACCGCACCGGATACATACGCTCGCATCTGAGGTCGCCGTCCGGGCGTGTCAGGTGACCGCCTACACGATATTAAAAACGCTATACTGTTTGGTTGTACACTTGTTTCTTCTATTTATAGGTGAAGATTTTTCAATCAACTGACTGCGAACACATTCTTATTTAATTTGATACTAAAATCGTGACGTGCGTGTTTGATTTAATTTTTTTTTTCTAATAATACAATAAAAAGTAATAATCTCTATTGTCGTAACATAAATCTGGTATTGCATTTTTTGTCTATGGTTATATTAATATTTGTCTGTCAATAGTGCGGAACATGACACTGTCAAAAATTGCCGATTTTATACTATATTTGTGTCAAAGTATGTCCAAGTATTTAAAGTATTATTCCTTCCAAGTATTTAAAATATTATTACATATATGTAGAAGAAATGAGTGTTCGATCAATATAACCTGTTGGTTAATGAAAACTGCCAAGCAAAAAGTCGGATTATTCATAAAACTTGTCATTCCGAAACGCATTTTAGCTCACAATTCACACTTGAATATAATAAGTTAGTAGCAGAACACTATTTATTCATATAGAATAGACACACAGCGAAGAACCTATATTAAATGATTATATTATTGAATGGCGGATATCCAACTGTTAAAGGTTGTGTTAAAGTTGTCGTCATAGTAAATGCAAAGTTGTGTTAGCTAAGGGTCGTTGTACTGTTCTCTCTAGCGCAAATTGCCGCAATTAAAAATTTATATTTACTTATTAAAGAACGTCATAAACCATTACTGATTATTCTGGTAGAACAAGAGGGTTAAATCAACAAAAATTCTTCCACAAATAGCAAACATTCGTCTTCACATGTGAAACTTTGATACCCAAATAGTATTAAGAATTCTCGTAGATATTTCTTAGGTCAAGAGTATATACTAGAAGTGAAATATAGAGAAATTAGACAATGGTGCATGTCTTACAGAATCGCACATTGAATTATGTGAAGTATTTGGTATTATGTGTGGTATTATTTTTAGAGAACTGTGTAAATTATTTTTGGAATCGAATTGGATATTATGGAATCTCATTTTAACATTAAAGGTCGATATAGATTGGGTGAATGTATAGTTGTATAATATAAACAATTATTTCCATTCGTACGTCTTACCGTCTACGTATCTACTAGTACACACTGATATGCACTCCGATTTTTATGAATCAAAATTAATTATGAATGAAAAACTACATAATTTAAAAGTTAACAGTTATGTAATAGTTTTTTTTATTAGAAACTCAAAATTATCTGTGAACTACATTTACGCAAAATTTTAATTTTTAAAGTAACTGAATGGAAATCTTCGTTTAATATTTTGTTGTGTTGTTGTTGCACGTTGTGTTCACACTCGGCACAAAGCACGGGTCTGTTTATTTACAAACCAATGTCAAAGGAAGGAAGGAAACTCTGTCTATAACGACCGATAAACACATAATTGTAATTGTATGAAGTTATTTGATCCAAAATCAGTTAGAAAGTTATTATACGTTAAAGCACCTTTAGGATATAGGTTAATTGATGTTGTGATTCCCGCCCTCTAGTGTATAGTTAGGCAACTTATAAAATGTATGAAAAGTTTCGTTAAACAAATATTTTCACTATACCAGGAACACGTTTAGGTCATATTCATTATAAATAAAAAAATTGTTAGAGAAACGTAAGAAACGTACATCACGTGTGCTGCAATACTTTTAAGGCATCCCTACTCATCGGCAAAGAAGACAGAGGGTGTAGGCCAAAAAGCGGCGTAAAAACCTCTCGTACTCTTTTATAATTGTAAGAAACGTAAACTGTGCTGCAATAACTTCTAGTTCTATAAATTGTATTTGCAAGTTCAGTTACATTTCTTTCAAGGAATTGTAAACAAATAAGATCGTTATATTAGTCCACTATAGATCGAGTATAGTATAGTAGTACGCATTGCAAGTACTGTAAATGATATTTAATATTTACTTAACGAAATTTTCCATACTTTTATAAATTGAGTAGTGATTGGCTTCCGTTAGGCGATACGAATTTAAATTCTAGTCAAAACTTCATTTATATATAAGTTGCATGTTTAGTTGTGCATAATATTCAATATATTCCAAATACGTAATATAGATATAATTCACTTTTAATTTATAAATTTGAATACACAAGTCGAAGCACTCTTCAGGGCTGGTAAACGATTTGTTGCCCTTGATAACAGATATTGTTTTAGATTATATCCCAATAGATGAATGAATCAGCCAATATCTAGGGCAACAAAATAAAATATATTTTTGTTAAGTGTTATTAATGCATAGTATTTTGTTAAAAAGAGTACACTAATCGAATTAAAATCATGTTATTTGAACAATTTCCACGTAATGAGACAATTATTGATTATCGCTAACGGAGGAATATTTTTTGTAAAATTACATGCATTTTAATTCGTAAAACGTTTTAAATACATGTTAAGATATTTTACTGCTTAGTTTTCTTTGCGTTTGTCATTTGGCCATAGACATATTTGCTTGTTCATCGCCATTATTCTAATGGTGAACGTCAAAAATTTGTTAAGTTACATTATTAAAAAGAGATCATCAACAAATGCCTACTCAAAATAGTTTAAGTTACTTTTTTGTCTAGTCGACATCTAGTCAATTTTATGTTAAACATTTATTTTTCTTATGTATTTGTTTTTAATATATGACTAGGTTCGTTAACATAGTTTTATTTACACTTCTCAATTAACACAATCCCAAGGTAGCGCTAATTAGTATGGTCGAGTACTAAAACGCTAATCAAAATTTAGGGCGTTCTTGGTTACCGTGTTATCGGCTTTTGTTTGTTTCCTATGCTAGTTTACATAAACTTTATAGCAGTACTTTATTGCGTAGTTTTTCGCGACAGTGTAAACAGCCTGCTACAGCTGCAGCACGATGGATTTTTTGGACCGTTGCCCAATTTAAACAGGGACATTTCTTGTAGGTCAAATTGTTGTGTCTACGACAAAAAAGCAATTTAAAACAGTCCCGCTATAAAGCTTAGGGGTAATTAAAAATTACAAAATATAATTTTACAATGCCGGCTTTATTCCTTATTTATTTAGTATTTTAATATTCTTATGTCCAATTCCGCAAACGTTAGTCAAATTTAAGATTTTTTTTTAATTTTGAGGATATAATAGACACAATTAATGTACACTATCATTTAACATCCTCTTTCGATGGAGTTTCTTTGGGCATTCGAATATCATTTATGCTAGATAATTTACCCTAGTTGTATGATTGCTCACTTATTTCATAATATATAAATGCACCACTGCACTGTACCAATTCTTAATTTATTCTTTTGGTTTATATTGGTCATACAACTTTTCCGTATTTATGTTTAAACTCTTGTATATCAGAGCTTTTTATGATATATTTTCGAGTGAGGGCATTATAACTTTATTTAAGTATTCTACTTCTTTCTTTTGCTTGAAAGATGTGCTGAATAAGTTTGACACCGTGCACATAATAATATATTAACATGCTTGTTCAATCTATACTGTTATCAATCTTTCTCACTGTTCTTCGTCTTTTTGGCTTCTTAAAGATGCTTTGAATAGCTTTTTATTGGCTTTCAAAAATTATTAGTATTTTAATATATCATCCCAATGATATATTATAAATACTGAAATTTATATCGAAGAAAATTTAAACAATTTGGAAACAAGATCTCTCTTGTAGATATAAAAATATGTGTATGAAATATTCTATAGTATTTGATTAGTAATTAAATCGTCATAAGTCTAGACTTCTAGACGTACCTACTAATAAATAGTAACGTGTAGCGAGAGCTAACAGATACAAAAATTAAAATAGTTATTTTTCTGTTTTAGTAATCAAGTTATAAACAAGACTAATTTTTATTCAAACTAAACGTTGAGATATTAAAATATTAGAATAATCAGTTTACATTTGTTGGTTTATTAATAGTTGAGAAACGAAATAAAATTGACCTTTTTTATACATTGGTTATGTTGAATGATTGTAGAATGTTTAATTAAAAATTTTAAAGACTGACATTTATTGGAATGGACTTAATTCAATTACAGCGTCATTTATGAGTAGAAGTAGTATGTTTCTGGTAGAAATATATGGTGTTAGATACCGTGTGACCTAGTTTGGTATGAGAGATATTATGATATAAATAAAAAGAAAATGGCCTCCAAGGAACAGACTAGCTTAGGCGAGCTAGTGGTGTAGCAACCTGGGAATGTATCGTTATTACAATCACGTTCAATTCACTATTGAGCAAACACTGCTGAATTATCTATAATATATGGTCAGTTGTAGACTAGTATTTGTCAAAGTATAATTTGTTTAGTCCTGTTTTCTGTATCTACTTACATTGTGTCTCACCCTTAGTGTTGTGCTCGCTAGACTTGATTTGTTTACTTGTACTCTTTTTATATGATTACATATTTTGGTCTGTACTTCTTTTGGAATTCAAAGCTAGTAAATCTTTTAATTTTGTTTACATGTTAGACAGCTAGACTTCCTAGGTCGTAAAGAATTCCCTTGTGTTGTCTTCAAACAGATTATCCAAACATTGTGAGGTGGCAAGTACCTTAAGTCAAATTCAAGATGTGTTTAAAAGTTATCATTGGCATCGACTTCAATGGGATTTTCCACCTCATCGTGTATTGTCATCAAATGTCATGTACTTCTCAGACCAAATCATTTTAAACACGAATTTAGTAACAACGTAACGTGTAGGACGAGATAACACCTTTGCCCCTGTGATTCATTTGTTAATGTAGATGTAATGCGTTGTTCAATAAATGACTTTTGTAAATCGTCTTTTATTTCCTGTTACCCTGTAGTTAACGCTTGGTTAATTCCGGCTCGAAGGACTAATTGTTCGTCGTTGCTTGAAATATTTAGATACTATGTAGGGGAATCCTTTTTTATTGGAATAAATGACTTCATAAGTAATTCGAAATTAATTGATACATGATATGGTAGGTTCAATATTTATTATAACAAATTAAAATTTACAGTGGAGTATAAAACACTGGATGCACTTAAGGTATTAGTATAATAAAAATAATTAGTAATATTTGTTAGTTGTTATTGTTGACTCGATCCCATCTCCATATTGTGCCATCGTCACAGCAAGTGAGAAGAACTTTTCCATTTTTTGAAAATGTTACCTGAAAAAACATTTTTAAGTAGTAAGATTTTTTCATTTATTGGTTTATTTTAAAATATAATTAATAACCTTTCTAAAAGCAGTACAAAAGACTAATATATAGGAATCAATTAAGTGAAATAGTAGTTATATGTATATTATTACCGAATTTAAGTTTAAAATTTAATTAAAACTAATTTTGAACTAAAAGAGATGTGAACCAAAATTTAAAATGTACATGAAATAATAACAAGCAAAATAAATAAATATTTAACCAACCTGTCTTACTGCAGCAACACATCGTGGATGTATGAGTTGCGAGGCTTTCGACCCTCCAGCAACATTGCCCAATTCCCACACCATTGTCTTGCCACACTGGTTACCAAGCGCTATTACCTGAGCACCAAATAGAACTTTATAGATGAAGGAAAATAATGCTAAGCTGACTTTCAAGTAGATAACAAATACCATAAATATTTTCCTATTGGGTAGGTTCGGTTGTAAACAAAACTTGCAAATTTCATAACATTTTAGTACAGACGCCCCAATAGGAGTTATTAGAATGGAAAGTTAATGGTTAAATGTAATTTTTTTAAGATTCAAAGACATAGGAAAGTATACAGTAAAATAATTTACAGGCTTACATTGCCAGTGTCATATTTCATAGCAATAAAATTGCCCAAATTGTTGACTATTGCCCATACAATTTATTCTCCTATGTTTAAGAAAATAATAAAGTATTGTACTAAAAAATTACCCTTTGGCTATAGTCGACAGCAAACCGAATGAACCATATCTCACATTCCTTATAGTCAAATCTATGCACAATAGTAATCGAGTTGTCTCCTGGGCGTAGTTCAGTTTCTTCTAAACGACCTGGCTTCCAACATATTATGGCATTCTCACATGACTGAAAATTAAAAGCTATCATTTTTGGGTGACCACGATGTAAGAATATCCCTGCATTCATTATAAGTACTTTACATTAACAATCCACTCAATCAAATTATATTTATTTTTGATAAATTTTTATTTTGTGAAACCTGTGTTTTTATTTTATGAAACCTTTGCGAAAATCTAGACAGTAGGTATTGTAGTTGCTTTTGTCTAGGTAAATGTTTTTTAATGGTTTAAAAAAATATTTTGTTTTGAGAAAACTGGACTGAAGGTTTCACATTTTATTATGTGGAAATTTTATACACAAATATATAGTGTAAATTTATTTGAGTTAAAGAATATCATTATTTCAATATTACCTTAGATAAAATGAGATCCCCCATCCACCGCACGCAGTCTACATAATTTCTATGTATATCTCGTGTGGAGAAGTCTGGAAAATGTTCTTTTAACGAATTAAATGGCCTCAGTGCTCTATGAGGGTTAAAACTATAACTCTGCTTAATGGCTTCATGCATTGATGGTTTATCTAACCTCCAAAGCTTTAACGAGTGATCCATTCCACATGACATTATCCGTTCACCTTTCAAATCAAAGTCTGCACTAAGCACTTCATCTCGATGCCCTTCTACACCCCCAAATATGGCTATGCAGACATCGGTCATAATATTCCAAAGGCGTAGAGCGTGGTCTTTGCTAGCTGAGAGTAGTAGATTTGGATCACGAGGATGAAATTTTACTTCATTGATGGCATGTCCATGCCCTATATAGTGTTTAATACAAGTCTGTGTAGCAGGTTGAAAAATTCGTACAATACCGCGAGAGCCAGCTACGGCAAGCAATGGCAGGTTGGTTTCTTCTTCATATGACCATGCGCAGGTATAGAATGTCTCATCAACCTGAAATCATGATTGCTTTTAAATTTAGGCTAAAATTGTATGGATTATAAATGTAACAATTATTTCTTAAGCATTAAAACTTTTATATTGTTAGTAACTACACCATAGTTAAATAAAGTGAAATAATACAAACAGTAACATGAGAGATTACTTGACAAATTTAAGTCTATTAACTAATTATTAAGTTTGTAATTAATTAATATTTAACTTTTCCACATAGTTGCAGGCTATGGTGGAAAGTCATGCCTGCCTTAAAATATTATTTATTGCATCTGTGTTGGGCTTACATCTGGATCAGCATAACATTGTAGGAATTTAAAACCACCAGATTCTGGGCATTCATATATTGACACTCTGTTGCTGCCAACAACGGCAAAAATCTGGGGCTCCCCATCACCTAAATTGTGGTTGAACTGACATCCAAATAAAGGTTGGCCATGATCTTCTTTAGCACTGCAACTGTTAAGAGAAGTTTTAAATTAATTTTAACATTAGATTATTATTTTATTTAATTCTATGATTGATATTGATAATTAGAAATTAACAGTCCTTAAACTAAATTACAATTATAAAAAAATAAAGCTGATTTTTGTTATGATTGTAATATAATTAGTAGTTGACTACTTGATGCATAGCTATGTGTGCATAGCATCAAGTAGTCAATTTAAATCAGGTTACTTTTTAATGTAATGAGTAGAAAACATATTTTTGGTGGTGTTGTTTCTGGAGCCTGTAAGCCAGAAGCTGTAAGTAATTATTTAATTAGCTTACATGCTAATTCACCACTCATCATGGACTATTTTATGTAAGATTAAAACAAAATCTTTACCACCCAGGCTACAATTTGAAATTGTAAACAGTGTTTATATTAATAATACAAAAGATTTAAGGAAAACTGGAAACAAAAAGACTGTATGACTTACTTGAACTTATAAGGAGGTTTAACTGGTTTTACTGTTTTTGGTTTCTTTCCTCTTCTGCGTTTTTTAACTCTAGTATTGGTGGGTGTCTCACTTCGAGAGGTATTGTCTGTGTTGGAAGTACTGTCAACACTTGAGGTATCATCCTAAACAAATTCAATGTCAATATAAAAAGGTAATTTTTATAGGTACCTATTATCAATATAAATGTTAATAACCTTTCTCAAATATTATTATCTTTAAGCTCTTGTACTTACTCCTTCATTCTCGGAGAAAATCATATTCAAATGATTATCCAGTAGCGTTACTAAACAATCTAAATTAGAATGTAAATAATCTATGAAGTAATAATAATTATAATATCTAAGATGATTATAATGATTAAATAAACGGTCGGCAATTGATATTTCGGTATGAAATTTAATTTTATTAACTTTTCTGCATCTATTCAGGCTACGTGCTTTTATGGGGGAAAACTTTATTTACTTTTACCCTTCAGTCTTATATTTGTTTAATGTGTTTTTATGTTTTTAACCAAAGTATGTACCAACGGATTCTTTGACATTTGAGACGTTTTGACGTATTAACAGATTATTAGTTTTATAACGGCGACAGATTATGGAACACTCATGATGCAATTGACATTGACACCTCATCAAAATTTAGTTATTATTTTCTAGTAACATAACTTTGGAACGGCGGACATAATAATAAAACATAAATATATTATTTATTTTTTCGAAGTTACAACTGTGAAATTTCTTTTTTTTCAATTCCGAAAGATTGTTCCAAACATTTTAGCTTCCACTAATCTTCGGCGTATCAGTCTTGACGAGATGTTTCGCGGGTCATCAGGCGAAAAAACTTCATTTCTAATCTGGTTGGAGCCTTTACTTGGGTATTTTTAGCAACACGAACGATTAGCGTATCTGGGAGATGTTTTTCTTGGCCGAGCCTTTCTAAGATCATTTTCAACAGTTCCATGTGTTTTATAATGATCAGTTGCCTTAAAACTTTCTTAACAGAACAATTTAAATGCTCAGCTATTCTTCTGTACGCAACTTATGATCTAGATGTAAATAAACAATTATTTGCCTAGTTGACGCGTCACAACTTTTATTTTTTCTTGTTTTGAACAAAATAAAATTCAAATTGCCGCCAAAATAATAGAAAAAGCCAAGAAAGAAATGTTGTTCCAATTTCAAAAAAAGAACGAGCTATGGATCCTTTTTTAAAATGGTTCTTACTAGGCGTCCAAGCGGTTAGCGGCCAGTAATATAATATGGTTACTCTACATGTGTAAGACTCATTTTGTAATTAAAAGTAAGATATGTTTTATATTTTATGCGTTGAATGAGGTTTTGAATGTGTATTAATTATTGAATGTGTGTACATTGTACGTTGAAGTTACAAGTAGCGGCACGAAACTCTAGCGCTGACCGTTATTGCGCAGAAGTAAAAAATAAGGTACCTGAGGGGGGCTAGCGGAATGAAGAGCGGGCGCGCGTAGCGTCGATTGGCTCTCCAGTCGCATTCCGTCCCCCGCACCGATACGACGCCCCGCGCACATTCCGTGTACAGTCGCGTCATTAATATTATTGTTACTGTTGTTACGTTTTGTTGTTTTTTGTTACGTTTGAATTTGTTTGTTATTTGTTTTTAAGTTTGTTTGTGGCTTTAAAGTGAATATGCCTAGAACAATTAATACTGTTTTGAAAAGACAAGCCAGGAAAATGGTTTATGACGTGAATTGTTTTTTAAAAAGGGAATCTAACGAATTAATTGATTCTTTGAAACAAATCCAAAGTGAGATTGACGAAGCTACAAATACTTTGTTCAGTCATTCGGACAGCAACATTGTAAATTTGAGCCAGATAAAACAAACTGCCGAAATCATTAAGGCAGGAAACATAAAATTTAATAGTATAATCAGCGAATTAGGTAAAATCAAATCATTAATCAAAGTGGCATATAATGTATTGCGTGCGCGACAGTACACATGCGCAGCAATCCCCTCCACGTATTGGCCAGCGCTAGACTTACGTGCCGCTGCTTATATACTTTCTTTATTCATAAGAAGTGTTTCTAATTATATGACCACCACTGAATGTATATGAAGCGAGAATGGTTGAAAAGGTTTTCAACAAAAGAAAGGAGAAGATTACGACCAAACCTAAAAAAAAATGGTAGGTTTAATAAAAATTTAAAGAAAAAATCGTGTTTAAATACCTTAATAAATAATTTATTTTCCTTAAGTTTCCTAATACATATACATAGTTTTTAATCTAAGACACACTTCTAAAGGAACTAGTATAATATATATCTGATAAAATTGCATAAAAGCTTTAATAGTTCTTCTTACAAACAATATTTATTTATAAACTGTAAAAGGTAACAATGTAATTTTACTACTTAGGTACAAATATAAATTTAATCACAGCCATTGTAAGCCTATTCTAAGGATTAAAAAGACATGTAATCTGTGTGCTTTGTGTGTCAAAACTGTTAAGAGTCACATTAAAATAGATACATATGAAATATTGAGATGTTTCAATTTCCAGTTACATATCCTTTATTTCCTGCTTTACGTCTAAATTTAAAATCTATAAAATTTAACATTAACGCCTTAATACTGATGTACATAATAATAAAAAATATTTAACGCCTTTATTTTTACCCATTGCAATACCGCTTTGGTTGTAATGGCAACATTTCGGGAAAATCACCTTAAATAGTATTAAAGCTCTCTACGGCAATAACTATCATGTAGCCTCATGGTTAACTTGCAAATACACTGGTACTTAATTATACTTAATTATATATAAGGTAACAATTATCCTATCAATACTATAATAATTAATTAATTACTCAAAAGTTACAGTCCCATAAAATATAACGTAAGACGGTACCTTTCAAATTTAGCGTCATATTTTGTTGTTGTCTTAACGTGACCTGTTATACGTTAGAAAAGCTGTTAAACAACCGTTATTTTTAGGTAGATGTGGAAGCCTAAATGTCTACATTTAGTAAATACAGATGATTGCAAAACATTTTCTAATACAACATTTCCATGTCATAGGTAAAAGCTTTTGTTTAACGGTTTAACGGATGATAAGTTAATAAATTAATGTTTCATGTGGCTAATTAAAAGACGGTGGTTGACAAAGGCACGCATGCCGTAACGCAACTTTGAGCCAGGGCATGAATCTGTCAACTCGTGCATAAACTCCGGGATATCCCTGTCTTGCACAGCCGCGTCCCCACGAAACGATACCTTTAAATAATAATGAATATTAAACATAATTGTTCTTTGGACCTTTCGGACCGTTACCGAAGTAATTTAAAATGTCAAATTGAAATTAAAAACATACTCCCTTGTCATCAAATTTGATTTGAATATTTTTAGTGATAGTTTTGTTAAATAACCGATAGTAAGTAACAGATACTAAGTCTAACTAGCTATACAAAGTACATTATACGCACCCACTAGTGTAAAGTACGGTTGAGACATTAGAAGGGGTCCACCAGAGTCTCCCGTACAAGAGTCACGATCTGGTGCATTAGCACATATCATCCGTGGCGTCACCTTCCTACGGCCATAACCAGCATTAGTGCACTCTTCTTGCGTCCAGATTTGTACTTCAGCCTGAAACATATTGTAAATGCAATTAAACTAAAGCGAGGAGATATAGTTTGGAATGTTCTTATATTCCCTTTCCACCACCAATTTATTATAAGATAATAATTCATTTTTTTTATTTTATAAGCAATTTCTAAATCAATATTTATGGATTCAGGAGTGTTAATTAAAACAGTATTCAAAACAATTTAGAACATATTATACTAACATAACGAGAAAAATACATCTTAAATGAGTGCGAACCGACGCTGTCAAAGCCAACCTCCTATTTATTTGATCATGGGACAAGTCCTAACTTTATATCTAAGTCTTAAAAAAAATCTGTTTTAAGATGACTGCTATCATATAAGAATACAAGCCTGACCTCGAAACAGAGAAAAACCAGTACAACCTAAGTGTTTGCTTAGTAGTAAACTACCGTTAAAATTATGCAACTGAACCGAGCTATAAATAAGACTTAAGATTGACTATGAAAGTGAAAGTGGACAATATCTTACTTTCATGGGAATATTAGAATGCGGTCCTTTTTCAACAGTACTGCCCCATCCGGACACTATAGCATCACCTCCATCAAGGTAATCGTCGTCATCTGAAAGAAACCATACCTGTATACCAAATGCTACTTCCAATTCAAGGGATGCCGTAAATATAGCGTGCCTTGTGTTAGAACAATCTTACATATTAGATGTTGTAAAATATTTAAAGATGGGAGTCAAATCGGTAAGACTGATTTTAGTTTTAATTTGAATATATATCGTTAGAACTTTATTTATCTTTTTAGTATTTGCTACCACCTAAGGGAGCGTTCAAGTATTACGTAACGAATTTGGGGGGGTCCTTTTGTAAAACGTTACGATGCGGGGCGGGGATTGAATTACACGTTATTGTTAATTTTATTTTCGAATTTCCACTACTTTAAACCACATAATGGTAACTTTTAGGTATAAAGAGTCACTAGGTGGTTACGAAACGTTTTACTATACTTGGGTACAGAAAACGTTACGGCGCGTCGCATGGGGGGTGTCAATAATCTTCAAAAATTGCGTGACGTAATACTTGAACGTTCCCTAAGCCACTGAGTTGACAAGCGGTATATGAATTCAAAATGTACCAGGTAAGCAGGCAGGCCGATAAAGTCTGTCTGGCAGCGGTTCAGCAAGTCTTAGGACAGCGATATCATTGTCATATGTATATCTATTAAAGTCCGGGTGCTGGAACACGTGTGAAACTTGAAAACCATCGGATCTTGAATTGTTTACGTCATATTCACCGACTAGAACTGTCAAGCGTGAAGCTTCTACCCTGAAACAGAAAATTTCAATTCTAAGATTTTCTTTTTATTAACTTAAATAACTAATAAGAATCATGAAATAAAGTGTTTCGATTAAATTAGAAAATATTTTTTCTATTTTTATAATAACTGTATGCGTTGAATAACATTTAAAATGCGAGAACCAAAACAAGAACGATAAGAACTTTGCGAGCACGCACCTATTTTCACATAAAAAAATTTCGATTACCTTCACAAACTATACTGTAAATTGAGACTGTTTCTTAACATTACAAATTCAGGACGCGTTGTGAAAGAGCGAGACAATCGATTGCATGACAAAACAAAAGATGCGTGAGCGCATCCATTTTCTTGATTGACCATAATGACCCATTTGTGCATTTACCTTTTAAACAAATAAAGCAGACTTATTATCTTTTCAAAGAAATTTTTCATTTTACTATTGGCAATACCCCAGGCTTCGACATACCTGATTAGGTTTGGTAAGCGATGTTCTAGAATAATTGGTATAAACGTTTCTGCAACTGACAAAATGGCTTCATGGTACGGTCTTATTAAAGGCTCATAAGTAATAGTTATTTATTTAATTTCCGGTTCAAATGGCAACTGTTAATTTAATTGACTATAATTTGTTCTCGGCCTTTGTCCAGTCTTTGAGTACTTAATTCGTACATGGAAGTGACACGGTCGATTTCTCAAGACATGCACGAATTATAAAATCCTATACTTGATATGCTGCTAATGCACAAATTCTTGCCAGCGCCATAAAAACACACCCTTTTCCGTCCAATCACTAACAAACATTATCATAACTGCGGTATTCGATCAGGAAGAAACATTTAAATATTCGAAATCAACCACAAGAACAAAAAGAGTTACATTTGAGAGCAAAAAAAGTATTTTCATAAAAATGTCCATTAACTTTACAAATATTCTATCAAAGATTGAAAACTGTTTCTTAACATTACAAATTCTGGACTGGTTATGAATTAATTATTAATAGAATTCGAACTCCGAAGGACATTATCAATGCATGCAAAACAAGATGCGTAACGGCCATGCCATCATCGAATGGATGCAAGAATTGTGCCTGGACCTTGCCGATACTTCTAACAAATATAAAGTTGTATTTTCATTTGCTAGATTCGCTACCCTGGCTTACGCTAATATGAGATAAGGATGTGTTAAGGCGCCGGTTCATAGTGGGCCTTTAGAGGGGAAATATAGCATCGGTTTAAAAACCAATTCCACAAGTGGACAATATTGTGAACCTCTTAACCTTTAGCGAAGTCTTACTATTTCTCAGCTAAGTGACGTACATGGTTACACTTTAATTCCTGGTATCTGTTACGGCAAGTTTTAATTATTAATTTGAATTTGTAAAATCTCGTGCCAAGGAAGGTCTGCGGCACCGAGGGGAGATCTATAGACCGTACATGGAGGACATGGCTCTGACTTAACTCTGCAAGACACAGCGGAATTATAGAACAACTATAACTCTCCCTGGCGCTGGCTTACACAAATCAAGTGCCACGAATGCCGATTAAAAAAAACTTTGACAATTAGCCTGGACCAATCAATAATGCCAAAATTTTCTTCCCTTCAGTATTGATTATGGAAGAAACATTAATTATTCGTTTAAATCAGCCAATGAACAAAAAGTTACATAGCTTTTGGAACAAAAATAATTTGAATTCAAAGAAAAATAAACGATCCATTAAGTTTACATTTATTCTATGAAATGATTGAAAAACTTTGTACATTATTAAGTACTCTGACTGGTGATGAATTATATTATTTAGTAATTGTTCGAACTCCGATTTTTGGGGAATCTTTAAAAACTGTATGCATTTTTAAGTATGGCAACGGCCCTGGCAAATCGCGTTATGACAAGAAATTCCACTGGAACCTTGCCTGTCATCTTTAACAAAATGTAGTTGTGGACATCTTTAAATAATTGCTAGATTTCTAAATAGGCTTACGCGTGAATATGTGTACAGGTGTTTGCGCTTTCAATACGTGGAAGATTTAAGAGATGAAAATAATTGCATCGTTTTAAAACCTAAATATTTCTCACAAGTATGTTTTAATGGATTTTAAACAAAGATTGCTTAATTTTTAGTCAAGTTGTATTTTGACTTTTTCTCTTGTCATAACTTGGGCTTACTACATCGTTAAATGTCATAAAAAAATAAACATGGTATCTGTTACAGCTTACTATAATTATTAAGTTGATTTCGTAAGGAAGTCTGTGCAAAGAAGTGCGCACTATGATCTCACCCTGAAACCATGTACACATGTAGTCAAAACGCGCTTAAATCCACTAGGACTGTATTTTATGTTATGGTACTACGATTTTATACCAGCTTCGTAACTAAAAGATTCGAAAGCGTTATTTTTCTAATTTAAACTCGTGACGAATATAATTTAAAAAGTGAAGATGACAGTTGAGTGAAATTTTATTTAACTGTCGATTGTTTGCCAACTTGACTTGACATAATGCCGTATCTCAATTATTGACTTTCACCAATTTGACATCCCACGTTGTCGAAATTCTTATCTTTCGTGTAATTAATTTGCATAATTCAAGTTGTGAGCCATTGATATTGATTTAAGGAGCAAAAAATACGAATATATCATTGGTCATGTATCAATAATATTTTGACAGTGACATACAAGTTAAAATACTAAAAATATAAAAATTCTAAATTGGTAAACTAAAATCGTACCGTATTTCCAAAATTATGATTTATGAATATTTCCGATATAGTAACATCGATCCAAGTTATGCCTCAAACGATTAAAATAATTCTTACACCGACATTAATTGTTTATTTTATTACAGTTTCTTAATTAAAAGTATGTCAGTCTCCTTAGATACAATGTCATCACCTACTTTCGGAGTAACAGTATTAATTTCACTTATACGTAAAATTACGCGTCGTTATTTCATTAAGTTTAGTGAGACAAGGTTATTCGGGTAGAGATATACAAAAGATATGTTGGTCGACGTTAAAATAAACATTATTAACACCAATAGCTATTATCTGCAGATGCTTTTCAAGATTTTGACGCTGCACTCAAAATCTCATGCATTGATAACATACTACCATCATAATATATTGATAGTAAACAGAAATCAATTGTTTGTTTTTTATTCTAGGGGAAATATTATTACAGTAGGTACATTTGTTTTAATGGCTTGCAATCAAATGCCTTACTAATTCTTGATGCTTTTCTAACCAAACAAGAGAACAACATTATTTTTTTAAGAATCTTTAGGTAAAAGTCAAGACATTATTTGTATGATTTATATTTTAAAATATATATCATACAAATAATATTTCCGGTTATGATTATATTACACGCCAGCTTTTAAACATCAGTAAATTAAGGAAGAGAAAAGAAAACCTCCAGTAAGGCTCCATGTATTTAGGTCAAATGTCTGTAAACCCTAAGAATATTGAGTGTCATTTTGACAATTGACACACATTTCCCAAAAGCGTCATATAATAATATTTTTATTAATATTAAATAAGGTTAAATATCGTAAAGTGACTGTATTTTATAGTATTTTGTGGTAAACACTGATCTTATAGCCAGTAATTTGACCCACACTTTTATTGTACTGACACGCTTTTGAATTAAAACAATTGGTTTGGGGTCAGGACATTAAAAGCGTTAACTTTTATTGCATTAAGGGAACAAACTTCGAATGTTTCCCTGGGTCTCATACGCGTTAATGCACTGTGTTTTTTAGCCTAATATTCGAAGAAAAAAAACACTATCCAAGAAATTCTTTAGTCTTATAATATTTAAAGAGTGCTAGAATTTCGAGGTATATTTTGTGGATTTAATAAATTATTAGATGGTAGAGACCCCAGGATAGATGAGAAGACTTTTTCGCGTATTGACTTACTTTCTGATAGTGGAGCAGAATAACTTATTACTATATGCTATTAGATTTATATTGGTTAGATATGCTTTTCATTGCGAACCAAAATATTTCGATGTTGTAACTCGGGACCAGTTGTTTTTGTTTGCCGCTAAAAACGTCACTGGGTACTTTTAAGTCTTACCCTACAAATATTGTGGCTATCACGTCAGAATACTCACTCAAAAATACAATGGGTGGCTGTTATAAGGTGGTCCCGTGCAACCACAGTAGCACCGCAAATGAGTTTTCCGTCTCTTTTGAGGGCAGCGAGCCAAGGGAATTCTCCGGGTCCCACGGGCCCACCGCCGACCACACGTGCACCTCGCACCACGCCACATGCTGTAATTATACGGTATACGAATTAATAATTTTATACACATGTCAACAAAATACAATTGTTATCGTGTTTTTTTTAACCTCACTTCTCTATGATTTGTGTTTTTTTTTTGTTTTTCGAAAAGAGCTGATATGAATTATCCATTCCATTAATTAACTTCCCAAGTAAAATAAAATTTAAAAGCTTGTTTCTTCTATTTGCTTTTCTGTGTGTAGCAGACATACGCAATCGTAGTGTCATATATGAAAACAATACGAAAAATATTTCGAAACCGCTTTAAATTAATTAATTATTGTTATAATATTTTAACGGAAAAACCACATTCATTACAAGTATGAAAAAGGTGGAGAAAGTAGATACAGAGAAGAATAATAAGCACATCAAATTTAGGTGTTTACTCGTTATCTAAGTAAAATAAATTAACTCTCACGACCTAAAAAGGGTGCCTTGCGAAACAATACTGCGACAGACATCTTATTCTTTATTTCCATAGACACGAGTAATTCGAATTGCTTGCCATCTTAGATGCTAAGATTTGCATATACTTTACATAAAGAATAGTTATAATTGACTAAATTAACAGGATAAAGGTAAAGAAACTGAAATGTTTTAAAGTTTAATAATGTGGGTCAGCGGTAATTGATAACGGAAACGAAGACACCTTATCTACTGAAAGATTTACTTACGAACCGAAACACATAAATATAAAGTGTAATTTAAATACATTGTTGCAAATCACTTTCTTCTTGAAGTGACTATGGTTTATTTCTCCAGATTCTTAAGGTTTAAATAACCCAAAGGCTGAAGGGTATTGATACGGTTATGTTATCTTCGGATATTGGTAATAAAAAAATTACTACTGCAAATAAATAAATCAATTAATAAGGATGGTGTCTTCCCATCTTAAAGTGGGCAATCCTCGCCTCTGAGCAGCAAAGAGTAAACCTGGAAGTATTTGATACCATTTTTACGTCGGATGTTTAAAAAGGTTTTGATCATAGCTAATATTTGTGATCATAGCTTCTTTATCGGAATAATCTCCTGAATACCACTGAAGCAATGAAATGCTAAAAAAATCTTCAATTTATCACAATTGATTGAACAACAAAGTCCACATTCTTCCTTTTTATGAAGATGTTTTTAACGCAATTTTTATATTAATTATTGATATTTTCCAGTAAATTTACCTCATTTAAAAGTTAAAATAAACTGTTATGATCACTATATTTTCTTTCCGATTACGCAGTGTGGACCATTTTGTTCCCGTTGCATTTTGATATATGACGCACTTTTGTTCACTTTGACTTACAAACCACTTATATAATTTGAGGACAACATTTATTGGCAACTCAAATATTTAAATTTTAACTATAAACGTTTTAAATATTTTGTGAAAAAAACAAAGATTAAAATTAAAGCCTTAATTAAAAGCGGAACGCACTTTCACGTTGTTCCAAATTTAAACATATACTTAAGAAAATATTTTATAGGACTTTGTGGTCGTTTTATGAATCACTTATTTTATTTTCATCGAAATTATCATCTAAAATCATATAGATAATTTTGCAATACTATTGTCATGTAACGAATTATATTTCGAATTTCGACAGAGACCATAATGCACAATTTGAAGAGCTCTCATCTATTAGCAAATTATACATGACATAATACTCGTACAAGGAACCAATAGAGATTGAAAACAAAATCGCTGGCATAATTTCCTTTTGCGTTTAAAATACGACTATAGATTATAATGTTCCGCGCGTATTTTACGCTAAATTCCGTACGCATCTTAGATAACGTGATAATATTATTTACTACGTGACTTTACGTGTTTTTACTTCTGTTTCGTCGCAAATCTGGATATATTCTTGACCCAATTTTTGCCTCGCTTCATTAAGTGCTGGTAACTTACCGAACGTCTCAATGTAAACACATAATACACATTAATACACTATGACCTTTACACATAATATCAAACACTCACTGCAGGTTTTGCAGGCACGAACTGCCGCGAGCACAGCTAGGAGGCACAAAGCACGAAACATGTCTGCCGAAGTCACAGGCCACTCTGGAGGCAGGAGGAGACGCCGGCCCAGCTATTATAGGCCGTGGGCGGCGCCTCTGATAAGGCTTCGGGGCCAGGGTAATCGGACCAGGCCAAGTTCACGGGTACGCGGCGACTGAGCGAGTGACACTGCTTCTCGCTGCGTCACCCCACCAGCCACGCGGGATTGTGCCATAGTCCAAAAAGTGGTAGGATCGGTAGGATTAGACAGTGACCTTCATGACTATTGTTGACCCCAAATCATTGGGTCAATGGTTGACTTTCGCTTAATTATAGGACATTGTAGCGTATTGGGTTTATTGCAGTGTTAATTTTGACGGTGACAGATTTATATCATAAGTGCGTTACATTCGTCACAACACTTGCATCACACGTATGGTGAGAATTTATTAAAGGATGCTTATTCATGAGCGACCCATATTAATTTATCGGAATAACGGGATACACTTCCTAATTATTTATCCTGAATATGGCGTATTTTAAGATTATAAATAAAATCCAATCGTCAAACTTTACTCTTGCCAATTCTTATAATAAGAAATTTGATAAAAAACTTGAAACCTGTCAAATTGCATCAGAATTTGTATAACTTTGTTATCGTATTGTAGTGGATTTAACAGTTATGATTACTTACAGTTTAGTGACATATCGAATAACTTCGATACCACATATAAAACATATGAAAACTGGTCAAGTACTTGATAAAAACATAATAGTTACTTGCAATTTATGAAACGGGAGACACGGCAAGATAAAGATCTTTTAAATCAATCGGAATACTTTGGGTATTTTGAAATATAATAAACACATACACGATTTAATTTTTAAGAATTTTTTTATATTTCGGGTCGAATTTAGATTTAAATGCTACATAAACAGTTCACTCGTTTATACCTCTTTATATGGATTTCGATGACTTTCACGCGGTAAAGCACGAACGCCCGAAACCGCAGGTTTTAAGCTGGTTTATCATCTATCTTTTTAGCTTGCGATTTGTTATACAATATTTTGTACAGCTTTTAATTGATTTATAAGAACGTAATATATGATTGATAGTCGAAGTCGAAGTCGGTCACTGCATTTGAGTTGGCTATTTGCATTAATAAATTGGGTAATATTTTGATGGACCGTCGCCCGCGGTTAGGACGCCTATAGGTTTGTTTATCTTATTTACATAATTTACCGCGATGCCGGATCAAAGTGGAATACTTTAATCTATACATATAATAATTTTGTATCTGAACTGTGACCTTTTTAAGGCGTCGATAGCTTTATGCAACTTTGGATGTTTGAGACTAATGTACACTGACTGCGGATGGACTAGGTGATTTGTTAATTATAAAAACTATAACATATATATTGCTTTCAATGTATATAAATCTATCAGCTGAGGATGTTTAAGAAACCATATATTTATTAGAAAGAATCGTGTCGAATATTTGTTATACGACAAATTAATTCCGGCTATCAACAAATGCTAGACTTTTGACTCAAATCCTGGTGAAGTTGCATTGATGTATTTTATACAAAAGCCTTATTTTCAAATATAGGCCAGGGTGAAACCGGATCGTACAGCTAGTTCTTTTATTTGGACAATCTTACTTAAGAGTTACATAATTCCAGGACAAGAGACGCGCAGTGTTTTGCAATTTTGTAAATCGTTGCAGCCTTTTGCGCAGTTACCATAAAACTTTCGGATTTAAGCGACTAAAGTGCTTCCCAATAAGAGAAAGCGCTTTAGAAAAATATAGTCTTGACACTTCATAACCGCTGTAAAATTAATATGTAGATACGCATATATTGTGAAGTTAATATTACAGTTTCTTTTATTGATTGAGTTGTGTTAAAAATATCTACTAAATCAGAAAAACCTTGCACCCTTGTTACCCTTTGGTTACTTTTCACAAGAGAGGTGAATTTTTCATTGGATGCCTAAATCTTCAAGATCCCCACAAAAAACCCGGTAATTTATTCTCGTAAGGGTGTTGCCAGAAAAAAAGCCGAGAAAAAATAAATTTATACTAAATATGTCATACCTAAGCCATAACAGTATCTAATACGTTTTCGTACGGCAATATTGAATATATAATTATGAAGTACTTAGTGCTTTTAATTTGTAAAAAATAATAATGTCATTATTTTAATATTCTATTTATCATTTTTCAATCATTATTATTATTATGTCGGTTAAGAATATTGTTAATACTGTATATTTGTGTGTTGGAAAAAATCATAAGTAAAATAACCTCTCTTCCCCTTCTATTTAAATCGAATTGGTTGGTTCCCTGTAAAGTAGGAGTAAATATTATTAGTCGATTTTGATTTAAAGTAATTAAGATTTGGAATGGATGGGTGAATAACGAATATTGTATGACAACATTACTGGCTGTCAATAATTAATCCAATTCCGGATCAAGTTAAAACAAGGTTTCCAACGTATCTTTTGATTATATGAAAATTTGTATTTAAAATTCTAATTAATAATAATTCTACTCCAGTTGCTTTCAATTCGAGTGACGAATCCCTCGCTCCACTTAAAATTGATAAAATACGAGAGAATTTAAAAAATAGTGGCAATCTATTATTAAGTTTTATGTATTGTAAAATTTCCTTTTTAAATTGTAATTCAATGATGGGTATTTGAAGCATAAACTAATTTGTAAGGCATGATTATTTTTATGCTATTTCGTATCATTTGCCTCTAAAACACTTTGCACAAATAAGTAAGAGAAATGGTAACTTATATGTAAAACACGTTTCTAAGTCATAATTAAATATATTTATCAGATTAATTAAATTGCAACTGCTAATGTTATATAAAACGCGTAGAGACACTCACTGGCGCCATCTTTCTTCCTTAGTAATTTATTTGCTTATTATGAAAATTGTATTGATATTAAGTATACGATAAAAACCCGACGCCCTATTTGTCATGATGCAACAGATTAGAATAAATAAAGATGTATATAATACAATAATCCATAGTACAGATTCATATAGTTTACAACAAAAATTAATTTGAATATTGTGAACTTGATGTTGTTAAAAAGAAACAAGCGACAGTGGGGATTTGTTGGAATGTTCCGCATAGAGTATTAAATGAAAAAAATATTGATACGTTTCAATCAATCAAAAAATTAGTACTACTAGCTGATTAGTAAGTAGTTTTATTGTATAGTTTGCTTGTCCCTTTAAATTCCTTTATATCATCAGCTATTCAAAAGAATTCCTTCTTATTTCAAAAGATTTGCATATTTTGATTTAGCTTAGCAATGTTTTGCTTAGAATTAATATGAATTTAGCCCTAGATACTCAGCTTGCCAGGTGGCTCACTAGTGTGTTTCAGGTCTTTTAAAAGTTTCTTTACGCTTTTATTTAAGAGTTTTAGGTCCTATTGGTTATTTCAATACGACTCAACTTCTTTTATCTCTCTAGTATCACTAAAAATAAAATACGAGTTTGTTTTTAATTTTTATCAACTCCTCAAACATTATTAACATTGAAATGATTTAAGTGTTAGTAGTGAAATCTTTTCAATGTTACTGTTAAGGTCATAGTTAATCTTTGAATAAAGGTTTCCATAGTTAAATTTTTATATGGCCTTGTTTAGTGGGTGTGTATGGAAAGAGCTACAGTTCGGCATGATGACAAGTGTGCCAAGGCGACACCCGTATGAAGATAACAATGCAACCTCTATGCAACTGCGTCTGTCCATTCCTTATTATCTGTTTTACGAACAGTATCATCGAATTAGGGTAACACTATATTGCTAATACAAATGGCCTCTTAATTAATCCATTAAAAAAAGCCATTACACTATTTTGAAAAAGTACTGGTCTGTCAGGTCAGGTCGTTTTACTACAGCTTAAACAGAATATGAGCGAAATAAACATGAGTGTAACAAGACTTTTATGAATAAGGGGGTAATCTAGAGAAAGTTCATCTACAATACCACCTTGTTAACACACAAGCTGCATATTTGTATTCTTATTTCAAAAACTATTGCATTGGTTAAAAACTAAAAATTGTACCGTACTCTGACAGCACTCAACTAGAAGTGATCGTTTGTATCGAAATCAATAAATAAAAAGTATTCATAACTCATTGTTGCAAAGTGACGATTTCGGAGTGAATGTTCCTAAAAAAATGTCTTTGTGAGCGACTTTTTATATGTATAATTTGAACTGGTCACAGACATGACAATTTGTCATCTGTATGAGATTTTATTTTCATTTTAGCTTTTTACTTATCCCTTAACTTTACTTTACCCTAACTATGAAGTAAGAAATAGAAACGTTTAATGTAAAGCATAAAACAGCGTGGAAAATCTTGGAAGATCTTTCAAGTTTTTCCTTATAATTAATTAGAGAATTTATGCCCAAATGAAGCCATTTACTTCGTGGTTTATTTGATAAACGAGAGGTTTGATGTTGATGAAATTATAGTAAGAGCTCATTTCACAATCTGTACTTCGAAGAAATTGAGACTAAGATTTTTTAAATCCTTTTTCAGTTTTGATTCGTAGTCTAGCAGTATCATATATGGGGTAGACACATTTTTACGTTTTAATAACAGGTTTATGATATACGTAAGTTGTTTTTCAAATAAATAAAAACATGCTTTTTCGAAATAAAGGTATAAAAATTAATCAAGTTCTAATAACGTATATAACTAGCACGTGCCTGGATGACAGGATTCAGAAAGTTAGTCGACATTCATTCAACCATGGATCATAGAGTGTAGGTGACCGTCAAAGATCGACACAAGTTTATTTGATATTAGTAGACTCGGCCAAGCGTTGCTGTGGCTAAGATTTTTGTTATATTACATATGTAGTAGTAAACTATTCAAGAGAAACTAATCCACATATTGCAGGAGAACACTTATCCACCATGCTTTTTTTGGGGTTATGCCATTAAATAGCTTATGTGAAACGTTGGTAATTATTTTGATAAGGATCAATACCTAGGTACGAATAAA